GAGTGCAACATGAAGCCATTAACCTGGCCAGTCTGTTTCAGACTCCTGCTTGGAGTTCTAAAGTGCCCGTGTAATGTCATATTACATTATCCTAACCCAAAGGACAATTCTCCAACTAGATGTACGCTGGATGCTTTCTCCATCTTTCTTTCCAGTTCTCTTTACCTGCTTCATTTATATTTAGAGTCGGTGGGACAAGCCTGGAGTCAAATAGTGAGGAAATAATATTACAATGTGTGGTATCGTATCCACAAAGCTGTTCTGATGATAGTTAACATTTTTATGTGGGTGTTTTTACTTTTATTTGTAGGCTGTCTATAAAAGATGACAGAGGCACCCTGATAATTTGTGAACTCTTTTTTTAAAGCATTTTGGTCGTCCATCACAGCCTTTTGGAGAGAGAGAGAGATCAATATCACTGAGACATCGAGGACAGTTGTGCCGCATGTACACCAGTGGCTTATAAATCACATGCTAGGCCCACCTGAAAGCTTACCCTGGATTTATCCCCATTTCTTACTCTAAATGTAAACAGAATGATTTTCATGAAGTATTCAATAAGATGTGAATCACCTCTTGCTGGCCTTTAGAAACCACTTGGACATTTTTAAAAGCAGAACCCATGGCTATATTTTATATTCTGACTATAGTTTATAATCTCAGTCAGAAGCCAGAGAAATCAGCATTTTTTCACTCAGAAGCTTGCTTTCACTATTACATAAAAATAGAGTCACACTACCAAAACCTGGACAACTGGTGTGGACCAATAAATATTTTTTCTGTCTGTCACACAGCAGGTAGATGTTTGCTGAAAATTTTAAGAACAGCTGAATGAATGTTCAGAAACTAAATGGCTAATCAGCTAGTCATTTTAAGCACAAGGCCAGCCTTCACCCACAAAAGAACAGATTTGGTGATAATTAACATCGAGTATTCACAGCTTTCGCCATCAGCAGGGGCAAAAGGGGCGTTTAAACTACTGTTATAGATAATAATATTAAGATATACTATCTTAAAACAATCGCTTGGAGAGAATGACAGAAGCAAGAGGATGTCTCCTTTTCTCTGTCTGGGTGCTGCTTCCCTTCAAAAGCACAGGAAGAGACGTCCAATGGCAATTAAACACGGCTCCTAGAAAAGTTACTAAACCTTGATACAAAGTTTCCAAGTTGGCAATAATGAAGTGAACTGATGCGAACTGAGGCTGCCAAGCTGAGACGGTACAGGCTTAAAAGCAAATATCTGGATCCCAAAAATGTGAATAATTGAATATTTTGATGAAGACTTTAATAAAAACCCACCATAAAAAAAAACCAACTTTCCTGCCCTTACCTCAGAGCTGTTATTCTGTGGAGAGGCCTTCTTCTCTTCCTCCTGTCGCTCCTTCCTCTTGTTCTTACAGGAGCCCTCAGTCTTACACTTCCCACTGCAGCTCTTTTTCTCGCCCTTTGCCAGAGTCTGTAAGCGGTTCAGGAACTTGACCTTCCAGGTCAGGAAGTCTGCCTGGATGCTGCCATTAAGACTCTTCACCACATTACAGTCGCCTTCTCCCCTGGTCATGATTCGTCTGCCACTCAGCATCCACAGCCACTTGTCCACATTTTTACACACCTGTAAGAAAAAAGCAGGTTGAATTCTTAGTAATTACTGAAAGCACTGAAGTGATTCAGGCTTAATAAACTGCTGACCTACAGCCAGCTTTAGACATCCTCTGAATAGCTGACTATTATCAACCAGTGTCATTCTTCTCATTTTGTGAAAACCTTTCATACCGTGTTGTAATGGCCAACGTAGACAGAGTTTCCAAGGCCAAACACTGCATATCTGAGTCCTTTCAAGTAGGTCTTCCCATATCTGAAGTCAGTGGATGCCTCTTCGAGCCACTTGCAGAACCACTCAGCATTTTCTGTGGGCTGTCCATCAGTGTAAGTTGCCACAAGAAACACGCACACCGACTTACTGAAGCACTAACGGGAGAGGTAAACACAGCATATAGGAAAGAGTTAAACAGGAGGGAAAAAACTTAGTGTTTCTTCATTCAAGACTTTTTTTTGTCCAAATATGGAAACACTTGTCTCTGGGACTCAGTAAGCTAACTAGGGACAAAATGCAGTGAGAGGTTGATACACTAACACTGGACACTAACTGGATGTACTGCTGACACATAATTATGTACCAGGTAGTCCTAATTAATTAAGCAATTACTAACACCCTGCTCTCGCCTGTGGCTACAAACTAAGCAGCAGCAGATGCAATAAAGAAGCCAGTTGAAGTGGTATAGGCATTCCTAGGTGAGGTGTTTTCAGCATGTCCAAATGGAAGCAAACCCCAGGGCAGAACACCGTGAAGATGTTATTTTTCCCGGCTGGCTTGTGAATGTATCTGCATCTGGTGAAAGAGAAGTGCCAGAGAGAGAAGGAAGTCTGAGCAACTCTGGTTAGACTGCTGCTGGAGAAGCAGTGGAAAATGGATGGTGGATGTTTTTTGTTACTGAACCAACAGTAGCTCACATCCACAAATAATGCAGTCATCTATTTTCTTCCGTTTACGTAACTCAGGGTCACAGTTGGGGAGGAATCTATAAACAAGAGGCAGAGTACACACACCAAAAAGGTTCATGGTACTCCAGGCACTCCGGCTTCCTCCCATCTCTCCAGGATGTACCCCGCTTCTCGTCCTATGACAGAAGGGACCGGCACAACCATAATTGTGTTATCTGGTGATGTGGTGCTGATTATACATAAATCATAAGCTAGTAGGGGTGGGGG